ATACATAAATATATAAATATAATTTCGTATTGAAACGAAAAAATAAGAACAAAAATCTTTTTAATTCGTTGTTAAACATGATTTGATTTACCTTGTTTCTCCGCCGTTGATGATTACTGTCAAGTCACGTAACGACTGACAATGAGAGGAACTTGATTGGCATTCGCACTGATCACAATTCAGCACTGATCGTTCGCATTCAATTGCTATACTGGCACATATTAAAAATTCGATAGTATTATTGACACGGCAAATATATACATGTATATATATATATATACACATATGTATGTTTATCGGGATGATTTCGCATTAATGTTATGTCTGAGCGTTATTTATTATCCGGGTTGGGACATGGGTCGCGCGAAATGTTTCGCTCGGTTACAATTTCCTGCGATGACCGTAACAGTTTTATCAGCACAGCGATGATGATGAAAGATGATGTCGACGCGATCGACGATACTCGAATGTGCATCGAGTATGACGGTCGCCGAGTACTATGGCGCTTATATCATTGCCACGTTAACGAACACGAATCAAGGCTAACGAGAATAATCATCTTGTTTCTATTGTACTTTTTAAGTTTGGGTGGGAGAAGAATGTAGCGTACATTGATGGGAGAACTTGAATTCAAGTATGTAGAAACTTAAGAAAAAAAGCAGCCAATATAAATACTGGGGAGGAAGTGTTTTGAGAATGTTAGTCGAGAACAAATGGATCTATGTAATTATATAAGATACATCTAATTTAATCCGAAATTTAGAGTGAGAGAAAGATATGTGATCTTATCTAATATAATTATATTTGGCTAGATTTGATTATATATAAAGATAGATCTAGCCAAATACGATTATCAAAAAATAAGATCATATTGTGTCACACACACACACACACATATAAGTTTCGAGTATTATTATATATAATCATATAAAATTACATATATTTCCATTAGATTTTTTAAAAATTAATTATGTATATTTACATCTGACCATATTATACGATTTTTTCTCGGGTAGACATGGTTAATCATCAACAAAATATTATTGGAACAATTTTTGAGCTTCTGTCGAAGTAAAAGTAAACAATTAAAGAGAAGGAAAGACAGATGTGTATTAGAAAAGATAAAGAACTTTGGAGAGAGAATAGTTGATTCTAGAATACATTGTATAAAATAATTAAAATATAAAAGAAATAATTTAATACTGTAAAATATAATCTTTGAGTATTTGCAGATCAACAATTTTTTTTCTCTGAAACGATTTCAACTGCCGTCATAATAATGCTAACAAGAGAGATATGATATGAAAGGTCGGTATTTTCATAGATTGCATGATTCTCAGTTGCTCCCGGATGCTACAGCAGAGATAATTTTTTGATGAAAAAATGCATTTTACATAATCTGAAGATTCTTTAATAAACTAAAATTTATCATAATATATATACATATAAAAATAATTTTTCGTGTGTGATGGACGTAATTCTTTGCCTTTTTCTCTATAAAGATTATTTATTATAGCAATGTGATAATATGCAAATTAATATTTTAGGAATGTATTATATATTTTTAAGAACTTAAAAGAAGAACATATATAGCTAAATAAATAGAAAAAATCTATTTGTTTATATCTTTTCTCGGAAGATATGATTTTTCAGAATATGTTTCTAAAGTCATAAGTTAAAATTATCAAAATTAATGAAAATACAATGGTTTAAGCGAAGTAGATTCAGAAACGCAAACCATCGCTGACAATGAATATACTAGACCACAAATTATTATTATCAAATTTTTACTTACAAATTAAATATTGATAGAAATAATAATATCAATATGCCATATTTTTTTTACATATAGGATTTAAATTTTTAGCAGCTTTTTTATTATCTTTCTATTATGTAGTATTTTATTATTTTCTGACGTAATTAGGCTAATAATTGATATTTTAATATATGATAATTATATATATGAATGAAATATATATAATATATGTCTTTTTTAAATTTTTTCTCGATTAAATTCGAACATTTTTTCTTTCATAGTATAAACTAATTACTGTTTAATTCTTTTATTGTATTACATATACAATATATTAATATAATAATAACATCTTAATATACATATATTGAGTGTATATATGTAATATAATGTTGTAAATGTAAATTATAGATGATAAAACAGTAATTTGTTAAATTGAAACACTTTATCTTTGGTCGGTAATGTCAGCGTTCTTTAATTATCTTCATGTTTTATTGATTAATTCATCAATAGATAGAGAAGCACATTGAACAGATGTTTCATTTGGTAAACAACGATATGTACATATGAGAATATTGTGAATAAAGAAAGATTTAAATTAACGAAATTTTATATAATTTTACATAAAAGACTAATAAAGCAAATCTTACATTCGTATTCCTATTGTATAGCTATCTTTAGCATTTCAATATTTTATAATATATTATTTAAAAATAATGATCAAATTAGCAATTTATATATGTATATAAAATTCGATTTATTAATATTTAAAAAAATATAATTTTACAAAAAAGTTAAATATATATGTGTTATAAAAGCGTGACATCAGTTATATTTTAGTCAATCACAAGTGAAATAAAATATATATAATTGTATACACATATATCTGAATTTTTTTGCAAAACCATTATTCTTTTATTTTTAATGCATCATGCAAATTATAAATATTAATACTTGATCACTATTTTTAAATAATATTGCAATATATTTAAATGCCAAAGATATCTACAATAAGATACTACAATAAGTACATAATTCGCTTTACTCGTCTTTTAGAAAAAATTTTGTTATATTAAACTTTCTTTTTATACACAAAATACTCATATGCGTATTGTTGTTCAATCGAAAATGAGAGATCTTCCTTTTTAGCAGTATCCTTTTTGTCAAAGTGTTTTAATATTTCCCGATTGATTTATCTCTCTTCACCGCGCGACGCTCAAAATAGAATTTATTAACGTAGTATTATTTATCAAAGAAAAACGCGAACGAGGTATATAAATTTAGAACGCATTTCAATTTTTTCTTCTCGTACCGTAAATCAACATAGCGAATATCTCGCGTGATTAACGCGATTTACTTGCAACGTTGACGTGAAAAATGTAATGTTATCGAACGCGTGACGTAATATTCTTTCACCGATTCGCCGAGGATGATTATTTCACTTCGGCTATTTCGCCTCGCCATTCACCAACCTAGTCACGGCCCTGGATGGACGGTCAGTTGGTCGCCGTATTCATCGAGCGGCACCTACGCTCGCTCGTCGATGCCGGTTGGCTGTGTGTCACGTTCACTCGCCGTGTGCTCTCGCCATATTTCGAATCCGTCAGTTTCGCGCCGGACGTTTCGAGCGTCGTTTCGACTCTTCGCATTTGACGCGCGCGTTTAACAATTAAATCCGGCTCGCGAAATCCGTGGCTCCCGAACGGCGATGCGTCGCCGATAATCGTAAAAAATCGATTCCCGCGATCGATCGCGCCCCGTTTCGGAGATCTTATCGTTATCGCGGGACTCGTTCTCTCTGTGGTCCTCTCGCGTCTCCAAAACCTAAGCCTTTTCGTAGCAGCTGAATACGAGAGGTAAGATCTTCTGTCATTTGTTGCGTCAAGTTCTGCGACTGAATTTTGTAATAATTTTTTTTTTTTTTATTATTATTATTCATACAATTCTCTAACGACTTCTTCGTGAACTTTTTTGAATAAATGTGCATAAATTTCTGCTCGATAAAAGTATACAAGATATCGCGGTACTTCTCGCAAATACGTCGACGATTTCTCGAGGATATTTAGAGTCACTTATTTTCATTAGCGGACGTTTTAAGACGCAACTTTTTATTCTATTTTATTTTCTTTTACTCTATTTTATTTTTCTTTTATTCTGTTTTATTTGATTAACGTTTAATAAAAATCCATCGTGAAATTTTAGTACCAGTACTTTCGAAACGCTCTTTACATATAATAATGCGATGTAGAATTTATTATTACATTATATTGCGCGTGGTTGCGAGAATTATAATTAGGCAAGATTAGTGAAAGTACAAAGACGCCTATAGTTACAAGAATGTTGCTTAATAAATGTATTGATACTTGCGAAAGATTTGTAGCTATGAGGACAAAAGACGCGTCTATTATCATCTTTTTCACAAACAAGCGTATGTATGTACGCAGGATGTGCGTACATACATACGTACGAGAGTCCGAAAGAGAGAAGATATTCTCTTTTTTTCTAGATGTTTTTATTTCTCATCCCTTTTTAGATGTTCTCCTTTCTCGGGTCTAATAGCACTTTTATATAGAGTGGTCAGAAATTCTCGAAAGCAGAGAAAGGAGTGGACGCGATGCCATAGGCGACGCGATACGAAAATCGATCGGCGATGAGTAATATCATCGTTTTATCGGCGTTAATTCAATAGCGGCTGCGAACTGTAATAGTACTTGTAGTTTTTTAGATGATATCTGGTTTGTGTACGAAACAAAGCACAGTTTGTTTAACATAGATTGCCTTGAACATTTCGCAGAAACGTCCCAGGTATAAAAAGAAGAAAAATCTCAAGCATATCCGATTTACATTAACAATATTATTTATATCGTTTGATTAATTATTGAGTCACAGAGAATCACAAAAATTTTTTTTTTATATTTATTTCTTTTTACGAATATTGCAATTATTTTTGTATCTGACACTTTTAAACACATTTCTCTAACAACTTTTTATAATTAGATCTATTTTGTACATTTAATATTATCATTTGATGCATCTTCCATTTGCTGGTACTTTAATATCGTTTGATTAATTATTGTGTTACAGAGATAAATAATAAATATATCCAATCTTGTTTAAAAAAAAAAAGTTTAGATACAGATATATATAAAATTATTAAATAGATATATATGGAGAGAAAGTTTTTATTTTAAAATTTTATTATCATTATTTCTTTTTACGAATATTGCAATTATTTTGTATCTGACACTTCTAAACACATTTTTCTAACAATTTTTTATATTAGATTTATTTTGTACATTTAATATTTTTCGATGCATCTTCCATTTGCTGGTATTTTAATAATATTTGTATTAAAATATAATTATAATATTAAATAAATATTAAATATAATTAAATTATAATGTTTGTTTCTCGTGTTTCATAAATACTATGGCTCGCATCTAAATTTAGACTTTTTATTTTATTTCCAACTTTGTATATGCGCAGATAAAGTTCCATATCTAAAACGTTCAAAGTATCTAACATTTTATATGTATTGTACTCATTAGCAAACAAATATGATTAATGGAATGCAGAATATTTCTTTTATATGTCAATGATTAGACTCCTTTTATGGATGAGTATAACAATAGACTCTCACTGTACATGTTGAGGAAACGGGTGGTAACGTCTCTCTTATTGCTGCCATACATCGCATTTCTACCGTTACGTTACGCAACTTCTTCCTTGGACGCGTAACACACGTA